CTGCCGGTCACATCCCAGCCCAGGCCGCGGCGCCCGCTATGGACCAGCGCCGGAGGCCGGTCGGCCACCGCGGCCAATCAGCGCAAGACTCCAGACAGCTCCGCCCCCCCAAGACACGCCCCCATCACCTCCCCTCTGGTTCCGCGGGCAGCAAGCCCAGAATCCCCGGCGCCAACAACAGCCATCTTGGAGAAGGGCAGAAGAAGCTCAAGCTTCGGGTCATTATCAGGGCAGGGCTGATCGGAAGTGTCTCGCTGCAATTACACTGTGGATTAGGGTCGGTTTGGGTTTTCGGGATGAGTTGCTCTAGGTGCTAGGTGTCCTTTGCAGACAAATTCAGGCATGCCTCATCTCAGTGGTCCAAATGGTGAGGACCCAGGGAGTCAGAAAGGGCCCTAGAGGGCGCTAGCTCCACTTGCAGGGCAAATAGGTACCCTCCACTCTCTCTGGGGGCTCTGGCTCCCCTAATACGTGAGAATCCCCAGATAGTCTTACGGTTTGTTATATCAACAAAAAGCTTTACCTTAAAAGAGAAGAAAAGAAAAGAAAAAAAGCACGCCCTCTGTAGCTAATGTATCATTTAAAACAAGTTTACATTTACTTTTTGTTCTTTGAATGTAAGAAAATGAACTGCCTACATAGGCTTTGAAATCTCTTATTAAAGTTTGGATCTTCACAAAAATGATTAGAAATGGTGGAGGCCAGGAAATCCGTTTCAAAGATGAATTTGTACTTATGACACCCGAAATTAAGTAATAATTCAATCCACCCAGGAAAAAAGGAAAGGACACTTTTCATGAATGTAGCTTTTTATAGTTTTTGCTTTGTTTGATATGGTAGCATTAATTTTACTAATGACCTACAACCAAGAGATACATATTTAGTTGCCTATTTAGTCCAGAGTTCCCTTTGTAATTTCAACATGTGTGTCAATCAGTTTGAAAACCATTGGCAACTGATAAAGATTAAAGATTAAGAATTTAGAAATGTAAGGGGTTATGTTGTTGGCTTTGCAATGGTATTTTGAAGTTGCCAAGAATTTCTTTGACCATTTTGCTATATCACAACCTATATTCATACCATGTGAATATCTACAAACAACAAAAACACTACAGTAGATTTGAAAATTCAAAAAGCAAAATGCTTAAAAATAGTTTTTAACCTATCAGTCATAAAATCTTCATAGGAAAACAAAAGAGCAGATAGACCTAGTAGGACCTGCCTGAAGTTATTACAAAGGCTGACAGCAGGAGGCTGCAGGATGCAGGCCAAGCAGGTAATTTAGTGGGCCCTACCTCAAGATAAGAGAAATAAAAAGAGCTGGATATAGCTCAGTGATAGCACTTCCTTAGTGTACCAGAGGTTCAGGGTTCCACTACCCAGACCCCCCAAAAAAATGATCTGGAGGAGGGGCTGGGGGGCGTGCTAGACTTTGTCCATATGATCCTCATCTCTTGGTCTCCTAGTGTTTAAATACACTACCACACTGGGTAAGCCCCCACTGTCTCTCTGGGTCATACCTTTCCTGGAACTAAGACTCTTTATGCAAAGGTCTACTCCTTGCTGACTTTTTTTTTTTTTTTTTTTTTTGGTTTTCCGAGACAGGGTTTCTCTGTATACTTTTGGAGCCTGTCCTGGAACTTGCTCTGTAGACCAGGCCGGCCTTGAACTCACAGAGTTCTGCCTCCTGAATGCTGGGATTAAAGGTATGCGCCACCACAGCCTGACTCCTTGCTGAATTCTAAAAGGCACCCAACTCTCCTACTTCATGTTCATCTATAGTCTTTCCCTCCTGAGGAATGGAAACTCCATCCTTACCCTTCGTGGAGTCTTTCTGGGCTCATTCTTGACTTTTTCCTTTCTTATATCGCACTACACCAGTCATCAAGTTTTGGGTCAGCCCTCTATTCAAAATCCAGTATCTAACCACTTCCTGTCTTCTGCACCAATGCCCATGCTGGACCAAGCAGCCGTCATCCCTCACTTGGATTATTTCAGAGGTGTAAGTGGTCTTTCGCCTTTACTTTCGCTTTACCTCCTTCTAACTCATCGGCCAGAGGATTTCCTTTTTTAACTAGATCTGAATCTGTCACTAAAACCACTTCAGTGGGTTCCCACCGTTCTCAAAACTGAAAGGTTATATACAAAAGGCTCTTCAGTAGCCTACTTGACAGAGCTCCAGCCCTACTCTCAGGTGCCAACCTCTCCCAGGATCGCTGCCTCCCTGCTGGTCCTTCACAATGCTATTCGGCCCCTCCCTAAGACCTGGGCTCTTTGAGTCTTGTTACCCCAAAGCTCTGCCTCCCTAAAGCCCACATCTACAGAGTTACTCCCCTGCCCATGAGAACTGTGTTTGCTGAACACTAGAGAACCCTCAGACTCTCTCATCTTTGCTGTGTTCACCTTCCTTGGTTTATTCTTGTTAGTGCTTATCACCAAAATACTTGACATTGATACATCTTTATCTGTATTGATGTTTTCCACACTGCAAGATAGACTCCAAGAAAGGACCTTGTTTACTGCATTATCTTCAGTATCTGGACCAAGGCTTGGCTCATAGTACACACTTCATAAATATTTGCTGAAGGGAAGACTGAATCATCAAGACTGCTCACAGGTATACTACTGTTCCCATTTTAAAAGTAAAGAGGCCTAAGGGTCAATAAAGGACGTGCCTTCTGGCCGAAATTGAAAAGATGCATGGCCGAGAAGGTTATAACTACCAGCCTGTGAATCACGATCCTGCAGCAGTATAATTGGGTGTTTAATCAACATTAACCCAAGTATCCCTAATAGAGAAAAAAAAAAAAAAGGACATCCCTATTTACTTAGCTATCTACCTACCTATCTATTGTTTTCGGAGACAGGGTCTCACACTCAAGCCCAGGTTGGCCTGGAACTCTCTGGACTGCTCTTACTTCAGCATCTGGAATGGTAGAATTACAGGCATGAGCCATAACACCTGGACAAGTAGTTCCTTTTTAAAGTGGGGCATTCCCATACCCACTTTGTAGACAATGTTATGTCCTTGTTAGATCAGAAGCTGCAGCCTCACAGATCAGGCCACACTCCCAGCAATCTCCCTCCCTCCAGCATCAGCTACAGGAACATGACAGGCCATGCTATGACTCTGAAGTCAAAAGGCAGAATCTTGCCTGCTCCCCTAGTTGACCCAGAAACAGAGACAAACTGATTTCAAGCAGCCAGCATGTAGTATGGGTTACTTTCCATGCCTATGCCTTCTGGCTTTGGACCACATCCCTCTGAAGCGTTTTAGAGAAGACCTCTGCTTAGTCTGGTGGAACAGAAGTGTCTGTCTTCAGAACCCCGCCATACTTGTATGTGGCATTAATAAGTACCAAAGCTCTACCTGAAGGACAGTTTGTCTCAGCACTTCTCTCTGAACCACCTTTCTCAACACTGTCCAGCTCCTCTAGCAATCTTGACATCTACATTTGCAAAAGAACAACACAAAAATCCATTACTGCTTTATAGAAATGAATAGCGCTTTTTCAAAAACCAGCTAAATAGTGAGGCAAGGTGGCACCTACCCAGGAGACAGAAGCAGATGGATCTCTGTGAGTTTGAGGTCAGCCTAGTCTACACAGTGAGACTCTGTCTCAAAACAAAAACAAAAAATACTAAATAAAGCAAGTGGTTTTTATCTTGGATTATGTAAGGTTAGGAAATTTCCCATAATCATGTAGTTGAATGTGCCAATTGGTTTTTTGTCAATTTGACACAAACCTAATCATATCTGGGAAGAGGGAATCATGAGGAATTGCCTTCATCAGATTGGCCAATCTGTGGGGGCATTTTCTTATTTATTGACTTGGGATGGCCCAGACCCCTGAGGGGAGTGTCACCCCCAGGCTGGTGGTTCTGGGTAAAGCAGGGTGAATATGCCATGAGAAGCCAATAAGCAGCCTTCTTCCAAGGCCTCTGCTTGAGTTCCTGCCCTGGATGACTACAACTGTACACCGAAACTAACCCTTTCCTTCCCAGTTTGCTTTTGGGCTTGGTGGGTGTTTTATCACAATAATAGAAGGCAAATCAAGACTTTTTTAAAAACCTTAACTTTTTTTTTTAAAGATGGGCTCCTGCTGGACAGTGATGGCACAGGTCTTTAATCCTAGCACTCGGATCTCTGCATTTTGAGGCCAGCCTGGTCTACAGAGCAAGTTTCAGGACAGCCAGGGCTGTCACACAGAGAAGCCCTGTATCGAAAAACAAACAAACAAACAAAAAAATAAAAAAGATGGGCTCCTTTAGAATTCCTGAACTGAAGTAATCTGCCTTCTTCAGCCACAGAAGTTTTGTGACTGCAGGCATTCGACCACACTATTATGCCCAACTTTGAACTGCTGTTATCTGTGACATTTCCAGTTGGCAAATATTTTTAAATAACTGCTTTAAAAATCAAAGAGTGCCAGAGCTGAAAGTGCAAAGCATAGAAAAATAGGTTTTAATTATTTTAGAAGCAGTGTGGCCTTCAGTAAATTAACTGTTCTGGTTTCCTTATCAGTTCTACATAACCCTTAGGGAGAATTGAGAATTAACTGAAATAAATTATAGTCCCTACCATACAGAAAGTACCCAATAAAAGATGGTTTCTTTTCAATGTCAGCCGGCACTGCAGAGCTAAAGAGAAACACTGTGTCACAACTAGTTTCTCGGCTTTTCCTCTTAACTTAAAGGTTCCCCTTGGAATCTAAAGATAATTAATTCAAATAGAAAAAATAAAAAGGAGGGAAGAATGTGCACTCTACTTTGCTGCACAATCGAAAACAGCTCTTTGGTTCAGCTTAGGGTCTCAGACGCAACTGACTTCCCCGGCTTCGCCAGGGAAAAATCATCCTCTTAACCCTCCTTTCCTTGACTCTCAGTGCGGCTACTCAATGAGGTCAAATGTCCCCGCTCGGCCGCCTTAGGACCCCACCCCCAATCCGACAGCGCCCTTCTATTGGTTGAGCCCGTTTGGCGCCAAAGCGAGGAGGAGCGGCTGAGCGCTGTGGGGCTCCCGAACAATAGAAGTGCCGCAGCCGAGAGCCCAGCGACCGTTTGGCGTCACTTGGCAGTTGACAGGACCGCGGGACCCAGGAGCGTCCGTCATGTTCTGCGAAAAAGCTATGGAGCTTGTCCGCGAGTTACACCGCGCGCCGGAAGGGCAGCTGCCGGCCTTCAACGTGAGGAGCGGCGGACCGGGAGGGGCGTGCCGAGGGCCAGGCCTCTGGCCTGGGGGCGGGGCCTCAAGCATGGGGGCGGGGCCTATGTGGACTTTCCCTGGGCTAGTCCGCTTTGTCTTGCAGAAGATTCTTCTCACGTGTCAGTTGCTGGGTTCGCTTTACCTCTTTTGCTAGGTGCCGAGATCGGAAACAAAAAGTTTGAAACTGGGCCAAACCAATTGGAGGAAGAAAAAGAAAATACTCACATTCATGTTATTTATTGCCGTGGTGCATTTCCCCATCTGTTTCTTGATTTTGTTTTTTGAGACAAGGCCTCATGTTATCCAGGCTGGCCTGAAACTCTATTTTAAACAACAACAAAATACGTGTATGTGCGTCACCTGCATGCAGGTGCCCCATGGAAGCCTGAAGAGGGTATGGGATCCTCTGGAACTGGGACTATAGGCGTTTGTGAGCTGCAGGATGTGGGTGCAAGAGCAGCAAGTGCTTTTAGCCGCTGAGTAATCTCTCCAGCTCCACATACATCTTTATACCCAGCCTCTTGATGAACCAATAGCATCTTGAAGTAACCCTAGTAGTTCTGGGGGTCGCTGTGAAGCCAGGTCCCACCTGCAGCCTTTGGAAACCACCCATTTGCTTTTCTTGCTTGTAGATGATTGAATTTTTTTTCTTTCATGTATCTGGGTTCAATCTGCTAAGAGCTGACACTTCTAGAAAGGGCCTGATGCCCTGTGAAGGGCCATATGGAATCATGTAGTATGCACCCTTTGTATCTGTATCTGGCCTCTTTTGCCCAGTATAATCTATTTGAGACTTTTTGTTTGTTTTGTTTTTTGAGACAGGGTTTCTCTGTATAACAGCTCTGGCTGTCCTGGAATTCACTCTGTAGACCAGGCTGACTTCAAAAAGACTATTCTTATTGTGGTGTATGTTTTCAGTAGTTCAGTAGTTTTATTGTGCTTTTTTATTTTAAAGATTAATTTACTGTTTTTTTGAGACAGGGTTTCTTGATGTAGCATGGATTTCCTGAAACACACTCTGTAGACCAGGCTGGCCTTGAACTCACAGAGATCTACCTGCCTCTGTGTCCCAAGTGCTGGGATTAAAGGCACATGCCACCATCGCCTGGTTTAAAGATTTATTTTTAAATTTTCTGTGTATGAATATTTTGCATGCATGTATGTTTTGCGGCCACATGCATGCCTGGTGCCCACGGAGGTCGGAAGAGAGCAGGAACTGGAGTTACAAATGTTTATGAATCACCATGTGAGTGCTGGAATTGAACCTGAGTTCTGTGCAAGTGTGATTGATATATTGTGCACCCCAGTAAACTTATGTTCTCTGGGGGTCAGAGAACAGAACAGCCGCTATATTAAACATAGAGGTAGCCGGGTGGTGGTGGCGCACGCCTTTAATCCCAGCACTAGGGAGGGATTTGCACCTTTCCTGGAACTCACTCTGTAGCCCAGGCTGGCCTCCATCGCCTGCCTCTGCCTCCCTAGTGCTGGGATTAAAGTCGTGTGCCACCACCGCCCAGCTATGTACTTTTTAAATGGCTATTTGTTTTACCTTTTTTTTTTTTTTTTTTTGGTTTTTCGAGACAGGGTTTCTCTGTGTAGCTTTGCGCCTTTCCTGGAACTCACTTGGTAGCCCAGGCTGGCCTCGAACTCACAGAGATCCGCCTGGATCTGCCTCCCGAGCGCTGGGATTAAAGGCGTGCGCCACCACCGCCCGGCTTGTTTTACCTTTTAGTTGGTAAAATATGCATTCTAATATAAAGTTGCCCATTTTATTTTTTTATTCAATAACTATATTTATGATATTGATTAATTACATTAATTGTATTGATTTATTACATTCATGATATTATGTCCTTTTACTACTGTCCATTTGTGGGGCTTTTCCATCACACAAAACAGATTCTGTACTTAGGAAATCATTGCTCTATATTCCTTTCTTCTCCATCTTGAGATAACGTCTAATCTTTCTGTCTATGAATTTGTATATTCTATATATTTCATGTAATACAATTCTATAGTATTTGTCCTTTTTAATGTAAAAACATTTTATGTACAACTGCAGGAGAAATAATACACAGATAGCTTGAACATAAAAACCGTTTATAATTCAAAAGTCCAGGGTTATTTGAAACTGGAAAATATTTTCTCTGTGGAAAATAGTAAAAATGCTAACATTTCCCAATAATAACATTTCCCTTTTAAGCCAAATAATAGCTGAATTATACATATAAATATTGATTAGATTCTAGGATACAGAAGAAACCTATCTTCATCTGTTCAGAAAGCTATGTTTTATTTAAGTTGTGTAAGTGAGATTCCTATTCATCTTCCCCTTCACTGTTTGATTTATGGCAGACATTTTTCTGTAGGCTAATCCATAATCTAAAAAGATTTTAGCCTCTCCTCCTGAAAGTACAGCCAACATTTTCTTTCATCATCTTGATACGGTACAAATTCTTATCCTAATAGTGAAATGTTTAACTAAAACTTGCCCAGGGATTGGGCAAAACCAAAACTTATAAGCCACAGTCATCCTAGGGTCCCCCTTGCTAGGTAGCCTCCCTGGATCTGTGAGTTTCAGTCTGATTGTCCTTTGCTTTATATCTAGTATCCACTTATGAGTGAGTACATACCATGTTTGTCCTTGTGAGTCTGGGTTACCTCACTCAGGATAATATTTTCTAGTTCCATCCATTTGCCTGCAAATTTCATAATGTCATTGTTTTTCTCTGCTGAGTAGTACTCCATTGTATATATGTACTACATTTTCTTAATCCATTCCTCAGTTGACGGGCATCTAGGTTGTTTCCAGGTTCTGGCTATTACGAATAATGCTGCTATGAACATAGCTGAGCATGTATCTTTGTGGTATGATTGAGCATTCCTTGGGTATATGCCCAAGAGTGGTATGGCTGGGTTTTGTGGTAGATCGATTCTCAATTTTCTGAGAAGCCGCCATACTGATTTCCACAGTGGTTGTACAAGTTTGCACTCCCACCAACAGTGGAGGATTGTTCCCCTTGCTCCGCATCCTCTCCAACATAGACTTTCATTAGTGTTTTTGATCATAGCCATTCTAACAGGTTTAAGGTGGTATCTCAGAGTCGTTTTGATTTGCATTTCTCTGATGACTAAGGATGTTGAGCTTTCCTTAAATGTCTTTCAGCCATTTGAGATTCTTCTTTTGAAAATTCTCTGTTTAGCTCTTTAGCCCATTTTTTTTTTTTTTTTTTTTTTTTTTTTTGGTTTTTCGAGACAGGGTTTCTCTGTGTAGCTTTGCGCCTTTTCCTGGAACTCACTTGGTAGCCCAGGCTGGCCTCGAACTCACAGAGATCCACCTGGCTCTGCCTCCCGAGCACTGGGATTAAAGGCGTGCGCCACCACCGCCCGGCTTAGCCCATTTTTTAATTGGATTGTTCAGTATTTTGATGTCTAGTTTCTTGAGTTCTTTATATACTTTGGAGATCAGCCCTCTGTCAGAAGTGGGGTTGGTGAAGATCTTTTCCCATTCTGTAGGCTCTTTTTTTTGTCTTGCTGACCGTGTCTTTTGCCCTACAAAAGCTTCTCAGTTTCAAGAGGTCCCATTTATTAATTGTTGCTCTCAGTATCTGTGCTACTGGTGTTATATTAGGGAGTGATCTCCTGTGCCAATGCGTTCAAGAGTACTTCCTGCTTTCTCTTCTATCAAGTTCAGTGTAACTGGATTTACGTTGAGGTCTTTGATCCACTTGGACTTGAGTTTTGTGCATGGTGACAGATATGGATCTATTTGCAATCTTTTACATGTTGATATCCAGTTATGCCAGGACCATTTGTTGAAGATACTCTTCCAGTTGCTAGGATTGATTCTAGGCATGTGCTACTATGCTTGGCTAAAGTGCTTTTCTGTCTATGAATTTGCCTTCCTAGGTATTACAGTCCTTTTGTGTCTGCTGTCTCCGGTTTAACATGGAATTGTCAGGATCCATCTATGTTGTAGCACATATCAGTACTCATTCCTTCTTATTGTTAAATGATACTCCATTGGGTGATATACCACATCTGTTGTAGGTCCTTTGAATGATTTTTGCTTTTGACTATTTTAAATAATGCTGCCAAGAACATTTGCAGAAAGCCCTGTAATTCCAGGACATGGGATGCTGAGGCAGAAGATTTATTGTGAGGTCAGCCTGGGTCACATAGTACTAGCAAGATCCTGTCTCAAAAAACAAAACAAAACAAAACAAACAAAAAACAAAACAAAATTATGAAAACCTGAAAATAAAAAAAAATCAAACACAAAAAATTGTAAGTTTTTGTGTATGGTTTAGCTCAGTAGTAGAAAGAAAAAAATGAAGGAGTGAAAGGAAGAAAATAACAAAGAAAACATGTCTAAGAATGGGATTGGGTCTAAAACTAGAAGTGAAATCGCCGGGTCATATGGTAGTTCAGTTTAACTTTTTTCTGGTGCTGGGGATGGAGGTCTTCTGCTAGCTAGGAAAGTGCTCTACCCATGAGCTGCACCTACAGTCCTTTGTTGTTTAAGATCGGGTATCTATGTCATGTATGAAGACCTTGAAGTCTTGATCCTCCTGCTTGGCATCCTGGGTTCAGGAACTCTGTCCATTCCTTTTAAGTGTCTGAACAGCTGTGGAACTCATTTCCACAGGCTATACCATTTTATGTTCCTTACCAATATCTGTAGCCATGGAAATATATTGTGAAGACTATTTTTTGTTAAGGTATGTAAATGAAAGATAAATATAGTACAGATTGAAATTAATCGGGAAAATCAATTAATATATTTATACATTTCAGGAGGATGGACTCAGACAAGTTCTGGAGGAGATGAAAGCTTTGTATGAACAAAACCAGTCTGATGTGTAAGTTGTGATAATATCAATGTTTTAAAAATAAAAAATGAGCCAGGTGGTGGTGGCGCACACCTTTAATCCCAGCACTGGGGAGCCAGATCTCTGTGAGTTTGATGCCAGCCTGGTCTACAAAGTGAGTTCCAGGACAGGCTTCAAAGCTACACAAAGAAATCCTGTCTCGAAAAACCAATAAAAAAACAAACAAACAAACAAATAAATAAAAATAAAAAATGAGATGTTGCCGGGCGGTGGTGGCGCACGCCTTTAATCCCAGCACTCGGGAGGCAGAGCCAGGCGGATCTCTGTGAGTTCGAGGCCAGCCTGGTCTCCAAAGCGAGTTCCAGGAAAGGCGCAAAGCTACACAGAGAAACCCTGTCTCGAAAAAGAAAAAAAAAAAATAAAAAAAAAAAAAATGAGATGTTAAAATCAGAACCTTTTATCTCTTTGGGGGATGTAATTTTTTTTTTTTTTTTTTAATTTTCTGAACCTGATCTTACCCTGATTGTACAAGTAAGCACAGGACTTGAACCTAAAGGAGTTTCTGCTGCTCTGTGGTTGGACAATGCTTCACATATGCTAGATGCTTAATACATCTTAGTGATGTATTATGATGTATGACTTCTAAGTTGAAAGAATTAAGGTAGATTTTAAAAGATGAGACAGGAGCAGATAAAGCCCACAATGCAAGTAAATACTTAGTTCCCACTCTTCGTTTCATTAACCGATGCCTTAGTGTGTTTGAAGGAGAAGGGTCCTCTGAGCAGGAACAGCAGTGATTTCTGACACCATGAGTAGAGTTTATTGAGAACTGGTATCACAAAAGGCTACCACCTATCAGGTCAAGAGAGGGCTATAGATTTATTGGATATTTAAGCGAGGCCTGGCATTTCATACAGTGGTGAATCTGGACTGTGTGAACAGACTTCAGAGGCTGCCATCACATGGTAAGATTAAAAAAAAAAAGAGTGCTGAGAACTGGATAAAGCTGGGGTAGACCAGGGTGGTCTCGAACTCAGAGATCCATTTGCCTCTGCCTCTCAAGTGTTGGGATTAATGCCCAGTGGTAGTCAGAATCTTACCTAGAGAGGTTTGAGTTACTTGGATGTAGAAATTAATAATATGATAAGATCTGTGAGGTATACAAACGATAGGAACATAATACATGTAGATAACAGAAAAATTTTTACCAATATAATGAGGACTGTGGTAAATGTGAGTCCGATGACAAGTCTTGAACTCAATTCTGCAAAGTTGTTCATTAATCCATTCAATAGACATACACTGAATAAATTTGCATTGATAAATATTTCTGGTATTTCCATGATAACTAACATAGCCTAGATTTCTGTTCATGACCCTTACTGTTTAGGAGACAGACAGTAAGACACTTTGCTCTAAAGAAAGGCTAGAAGAGAGAATAATGATAGGAGCCAATATGAAGTGTAACTGAAATTGAGGAACTGGGAGTTTTCTCTGAGGAAAAGATATTTCAGCTGAGGCTTCAAGAAGAGGGTTTTAGTCACTAAAACAATCAAGGTGAGCAAAGGGCATTCAGGCAGTAGCTACAGCATATGTTAAGGATCTTAAAGAGGCTAGTCCTCAGGAAACCACACTTAAAGACCAGTGTGGCTGGAACTTAGCAAGGAGAAGAGGGTGTCATCAGATGAGATAATTGGTAGGGGGTAGGCAGTCTGTCTTAAGGTCATCCTGGCTGCTATATGTATTTAACAAGCAGAGAGGAGGAGACACAGTGGTCATTCAGGTCATTGACTACAATAAACAGAATAAAGATATATTTTAGAATTGGCCTATTAGGTCTTGGTCCAGTAAGGGACTGAATTTTCTGTACTCCATGTATTTGTATTCTGTGCAAATTAATAGTCCAGAAATTTGTCCCTTACTTTGTTAAATTCTCGCTGGGGAGGTGATCATTGTTACTAGTTTCTGGTTAAAATTATCTGTGAGGGGGCTGGAGAGATGGCAGTGGTTAAGAATACCAGCTACTCGGGGTTGGGGGTTTAGCTCAGTGGTAGAGTGCTTGCCTAGCAAGTGCACGGCCCTGGGTTCAGTCCTCAGCTCTGGAAAAAAAAAAAAAAAGAAAAGAAAAGAAAGAATACCAGCTGCTTTGAGAGCACTGGGTTTGATTCCCAGAACCTACATGGCAGCTCACAATGATCTAAAACTCCAGTTCCTGGGGATTTGACACCCTCTTCTGGCCTTTGTGGGAACTCTATGCATGTGGTGCAAACACCTATACAAATAAAAAGATTTTTTTTTTCTAAATTTTTTTCAAGACAGGGTTTCTCTGTATAGCCCTGACTGTCTTGGAACTCTCTCTGTAGACCAGGCTGGTCTTTAACTCAGAGTCACCTACCTCTTGAGTGCTGGAATTAAAGGCATGTGCCATCACCACCCAACTCAAATAAAAAGATTTTGAAAAAAAAAAAAATAGGGCTGATGAGATGACTCTGGGTGGAGGTACTTGCTGCTAAGTTTGCTGGTTTGAGTTAGGCCCCCAGGACTCACCTGGTAAAAGGAGAGGGTAAACTCCTTGAAGTTGCCCTCTGATCTGTTCTCTACACAAACTACGTACACACATAAATAAATGCAATAAAAATTTAAAAATAACTTGTGAATAAAGGGGAACCCTTCAACTAATCATGTGTAAATATGAAGAGTTTTTACGTGTACTTTCTACATTATTCGGCTATTAAATTTAATCATTTGAGAAAAGATCTCATTTTGTAGTTCCGTCAAGTGCTAGGGTTATAGACATGGTGCCACCATGCCCTGCTAGTCCAAATGTATTATAATGGTTTCTTATAATCTGGGGATGATATCTTTACATTGTAAGCAGTTGTAAGGAATGTGGAGACTTAGCCTGACCTCCACAGAGGGGCAGAAGTATGTAGAATGGCTCTCTGTGGTCAAGAAGAAGCTTAGTGCTAGAGCTCTCGTCTCGCATGTGTGGGGCCCTGGGTTTGATCTTCAGCACCACAAGAACAAAACAACCTAGATTCTCTGATAAATACAGGGTCTCACTAGGATGACTTGAACTCAAGAGATTTCTCTGACTTTACCTCCTAAATGCTTGGGATCAAAGGTGTGTACCACTGTACCCAGTTCTGGTTTTTATCTTTTAATGTACTAATGAAAGCACTGGCATGGTGGTAGCTACTCTGCTTGGGTTGACTGCTGCTAACTTTAAATGGACAAAGCAAGCATGTATGTCAGTCATTCTGGCTTTGAAACTTTTACCTACACTGGAATATGTTTCTTGCTCTTTATATGTCCTTACCAGGAATGAAGCAAAGTCAGCTGGACGAGGTGATTTGATACCAACCATCAAATTTCGGCATTGTTCTTTGTTAAGAAATCGACGCTGCACTATAGCATACCTGTAAGTGTCTTGGGTTTTGCTTGGAGTGTCAGGGAACCTAGGAAGGTTTTTGATGTAGTTTGGTTTCTCAGTGGGTAGCAAGGAAGAAAGAAATCTTCTGTTGTTCCTTTTTATTTTTTTTAAATTTTTTAAAATTATGAAATATTAGTGTATTCATAAAAAGTGAAAATAATATAACTTGCTCTGTAGAACCTAGGTCCTAGACCTTAGTGTTTTGCCACATTTACTTCATTGCATTTTGTTTTTACACTGCACTAGTTTGGATTATCATGGCAGCTCACCACTGAATTCTTAATGTTTTTTGTCTCTAAGCAGTAAGGATCTCTTGGCTTATGTAACCACTGCATGTTGTCACATTTGGAGAGTTAAACAATTTTCTAAGATTGAAACAGGTTGTTATTATGTAGTCCTGGCTTGAACTCACAGTGATCCTCCTGCTTCTGCCTCCAAAGTTCTGGGATTAAAGGCATTTGCCACCACACCAACAATCTAAACAGTTTTTATGCATGTTTTTTTCCATTGTCCCAAAGATGTCTTCTTGTTGGTGTCTTTCTATCAGTAGCCACACAAAGTCCCCATGTTCCATTTAGGTTTTGTGAGTCTCGAGTCTTCTCATCAGAATGACTTTGACCCCTTTTATTCTTAGACCATCTAATCCCTTCACATCTTAGGTATGACCGGTTGCTTCGGATTAGAGCACTCAGGTGGGAATATGGCAGTGTCTTGCCAAATGCTTTACGATTCCACATGTCTGCTGAAGAAGTAAGTTAGCACTATTCAAATGTATAAAAATGCTCTCTATGTTCTCTAACAGTAGTTATCTGTGTTTCTCCTTTTGTCTTTAGTATTCAGCAATTTCTAACCTGAACTAATTTCTTGTTTGTTTGTTTTTTGTTGTTGTTGTTTTTTGTTTTTGTTTTTTAGAGACAAGGTTTCTCTGTGTAGCCCTTGCTCTCCTGGAACTAGCTTTGTGGACCAAGCTGGCCTTGAACTCAAAGAGATCTGCTTGCTTCTGCCTCCTGAGTACTGGGATTAAAGGCATGTACCACCACACCTGGCCTTGAACTAATTTCTTATATACTATGATAGGAAGTATGTGGTGGGGAGTATTTCTAAGTGCCTGTACTGTGTGGAAAACTAGGTACTTAACAAAATAGAGTCCCAATAGTTTTTTGTTTGTTTTTCGAAATAGTGTTTCTGTGTATAACAGCCCTGGGTGTCCTGGAACTTGCTTTGTAGACCAGGCTGGCCTCGAACTCACAGAGATCCACCTGCCTCTATCTCCTGAGTGCTGGGATTAAAGTGTGCACCACCCTGCCCAATATGCTATTTATTACTAATCCATCTTTGGGATTAAAAACTGGAATTATTACTTGGGTGCTTTCTATACAATGTGTACATATATGTATATATGTACATTCTAATCAATATTACAAATTTATATTGGTAATAAGTCTTGATTGGTCCAAGGCATAAGATTACTTCAGATATTGGATTGAAGCCAGATAAACTTAAATCCTTACTATCCAACAGCTGTCTATCTCAAGCAAGTAACTTGACCTCTCTGTGGTGATACTGTGTTCCCCAAAATATTGTGCAGCCTAATAAACTTATCTGGGGTCAGAGAACAGAACAGCCACTAGATACAGAGGCTAGAAAATGGTGGCACTCACGCCTTTAATCCTAGCATTCCAGAGGCAGAAATCCGTCTGGATCTCTGTGAGTTCAAGGCCACATTGGAAACAGCTAGGTATGGTGACACACGCCTTTAATCCCAGGAAGTGAGGGTAGAAAGCAGAAAGGTATATAAAGCGTGAAAACCAGGAACTAGGCTGGTTAAGCTTTCAGGCTTTTGAGCAGCAGTTCAGCTGAGATCCATTTGGATGAGGACACAGAGGTTTCCAGTCTGAGGAAACAGGATCACCTGAGGTATTAGCAAGGTGAGGTAGCTGTGGCTTGTTCTGCTTCTCTGATCTTCCAGCATTCACCCTAATACCTGCTTCAGGTTTGTTTTTATTAATAAGACCTGTTAAGATTCCTGTTACACCTCTCCCTGTGTCTAAATTATCTCCTTTAAAAATGATACAGTTTACAAGGACTTCAGAGTAACTGCCTGAAGTTAGACCACACTTCACCTAAGTCTTCCATAAAAGTTCCCCTTACTTTAGACAACAGTTACAAGTTCTAATGTTCCATGATTCCTATAGGTTCAGTACTTCACCAGAATGAATCACAAAACTCAGAAAACCATTCAGCTTCAAACTTCAATGTCTTGAAGCCAAATGGATACAAAGCAAAGTGGATACAAATGGGAACCAGCTGGATGAGACTCGTGAGGCAGGGCTGAGAGGGTTGGAGACTCTAAGCTTCTGCATCTTATGCTTGTACAGCAGAGCATTGGACACCCTCCCGACACATCCCATAATGGTACACAAAGCATTGCCATCCAGGTACTCTTTTTTTTTTAATTCCGGTTTTTCGAGACAAGGTTTCTCTGTGTAGTTTTGGTACCTGTCCTGGAACTCACTCTGTAGACCAGGCTGGCCTCAAATTGACAGAGCTCTCTTCCCTCCTCCCCTCCCAGGAGGCCACACTGTTAGTGAGGTCCAAAGCCCAGTCCACTGACTGTATGGTTTCTAGCCTCCACTATCGAGAGTCCTCATTGACAACTCTTGATACTTCTCTGCATCAGTGATACATGATTTCTGTCCTTAACTATTTATATGTTGATTTGTGTGTGTTGAACCAACCTTGCGTTCTTGGAGCGAAGTCAACGTTGTCATGGTCTGATCTTCTTAATGTGTTCTTTAATTCTGACTCTAAGAATTTATTGCAAATTTTTATTTCTATCAGGGAACTTAGTAGTTTTCTTTTTTTGTGTGTCATGGGGTTTTGGTGTCATGATAATGCTGGCTTTGTACAATGCATTTGGCATTGTTTCCTTCCTTCTGTTATGGAATAGTTTAAAAGTATTTGTGTTAGCTCTTCTTGAAAGGTTTGGTAGAGTTTGACAGTAAACCCATCTAGTCCTGAGGCTTTCCTTTGTTGGGAGCCCTTTTATGGTTGCTGTAGTCTCACTGATTATAATGGATTTGTTTCTTCTTGATTTACTTTAGGCAGATCTTATGTGCCTAGGAATTTATCCATTTTTTGATTGTGTCTATATATTATTGTTTTAGTTTCTACTTCATTAATTTCTGCCATGATCTTTGTAATTTCTCTCGTCCTCCTGCATTTGGGTTTGGACTGTTGTTGTTTTCCTAGAACCTTACGGTGCATTGCCAGGTTTTTGTTTTGTTTTGTGGGGGGCTATCTAATTTCTCCGGGGAAGTGCTTGTTTTTGTTTTTTTTTTTGTTTTTTTTGGTTTTTTTTTGGTTTTTTTTCGAGACAGGGTTTCTCTGTGTAGCTTTGCGCCTTTCCTGGAACTCACTTGGTAGCCCAGGCTGGCCTCGAACTCACAGAGATCCGCCTGGCTCTGCCTCCCGAGTGCTGGGATTAAAGGCGTGCGCCACCACCGCCCGGCTAGGGGAAGTGCTTGTTATAGCTACCACCTTTCCTCTGACAACTGCTTTAGCTGTGTACCAAAGATTTTGGTAAATTGTATTCTCACATTGTTTGATTCTAGGAAATTTTCAGTTTCCTCCCCAATTTCTTCAGTGGCTCGGTGGTCATTCAAAAGTATATTATTGATTCTCCAAGTACTTGTGAGGTTTCAGTAGTTTTCTTCTTGTTGATTTCTAGTTTTATGGCATCAATTTGATAAGATACAAGAAGTTATTTAGATTCTCTTGTATTTTTTAAGACTTGATTTGTGACCCAGAATGTGATCTCTCTTCTAGAAGCTTATGGGCTGCTAAGAAGAATATATATTCATTACCTGTTAGATAGATATTCTGTGTGTATCTAATAAACTCATTTGATCTACAGTGTAGTTTGATTTTTTAGATTTATTTTATATGTATGAATGGTTTGCCTATGTGTATGTATGGACACCATGTGCATGCCTGGTGCCCTTAGAGGTCAGAAGGGGTCAGATTCCATGGAACTGGAATGACAATTGGTTGTGAGCCACTATGTTGATGCTGGAAATAGAACCCAGGTCCTCTGCAAGAGCAACAAGTGTTTCTTCACCACTGAACCATTTCTCCAGCCTCTGCAGTATAATTTAACTCAGGTTTCAGTTTGAATGAAAATGGTGTGTTGAATCACCTACTGTGTGGGAGCCCATTCTCGGGTTCCTCGTGGCTTTACCCAGCAGGTCCGCATAGAGGATGATTAGACCACAGGCCTGAGTGCAGGTGTCTGAGATGGTCTGCACTTGGCTGTGCTGGGGGAGGAGGTCTTTTGCTCCACCCTTTGGCGTCTCTATAAAAACCCTGGGGCAGAGACAGTCGGGGCCCGTTGGAAAAGGTTCCAGGCCCTCTCAAGGCTATCCTTTATTTTCTATCTGTTTATCTCCGCAAGATTCTCCACAATAAATCCTTCTATCTAATATTTCCTGCTGCTCGCACTCAAGAAAACTCTGGGGAACTGTGGGGGTGGTGGGTAAACGCCCCACACTACTGCCATTGGATCAGGACCTATCTGACCTTTTATAGCCCTCAACATATGTTTCCAATTGTTATATCATCTTGTAATTTTATTTTGCTTTGCATTTTTGACATTTTGACTACAATATGTTAGAGAGGTTCTTCTCTGGTCTTGTCTTTAGGGTTCTAATACCTCTTATGTCTGATATCTTTCTCTAGATTTGGGAAATTTTTGTTATAATTTCATTGAGTGGAATCTCTTAACGCTTTAAAATTTACCTTCACTTCTATCCTGTGGACTCTTAGGTTTGGTCTCTTGATTGTGCGCCAGAGTTCTCGGTCCTTGTGTGGTGATGCTTATTTCCTTGTTTTCTTGAACATAGTTACTTCCTCTTCTCCATGGGTTTTGTTTTTGTTTTGTTTCCCCACAATTTCTGACATTTTCCACTAGGTTGCTTTTTTTTTTCCCCCCTCAAGACAAGGTTTCTCTGTGTAACATCTCTGGCTGTCCTGGAACTTGCTTTGTAGACGAGGCTAGCCTCGAACTCATAGAGGCCTGCCTCTGCCTTCCAAGCACTGGGATTAAAGGTGTATGCCGCCACCACCACCACCAGCAGCAGGTTGCAGCCTTTTTGTCCCTAATTCATTCATTTTACTACCTTATCCTCCCCTACCCTCTGTATTGCTGACTTTCTTCTCTTTAGGCTCTGGATTTATTGAATCCCTTTGTTTGTATTGTCTTAGAAAACATTGATCAGTTTTTACTAGTAAACTTTTGAGATCATCAGTTAGCATTATAGCTGTTTCACTGTCACTGAGTTTGGTAGTGAATTACAGAGAGCCTTTTGGAGGAGCCAGTGTGCCACACTTTCTCATGTTTTGGGGTCTCTGTCTTGTGATGTGCATATCTGCTGGTCAGGAACTCTCTTCCTGTTTTATTTGGGGATCTTCTTGAAGGCTTAATCTCTAGTACCCTCTGTAGAGAGAAAGCAAATTTCTGTGATAGCAGCAAACCAAGAAGCCATGCAAGATATAGAAATACACTTAAAGTCAAGTACAGCCCACTAATGGATCATCAGTGACCACAAAAGTAAAACTGGCAAAGCTACTGTAGAATGTGGGACAAAGGTAATTTTTAAGAGTGAGTGTGGAAACAGTAAATGAATGACATCAAAGGAGGAGGCAGGAAAAGGGGGAAAATAGAGAAGCAAGATTAAATACAAGAATGAGGAAAGAAGCTGAGTGAGATAAATGTTATTCAGGGAAAAGAGCAAGAAATTAGAAAAGAAAAGAAAAAAACAAATGATATCTCAACCATAGTCACTTCAAAAAACAAGCAAGCCAGGCAGTGATAGTAGCGCACACCTTTAGTCCCAGAACTCAGAGGCAGAGACAGGCAGATCTCTGTGAGTTCCAGGCCAGCTTTGCCCACAGAGTGAGTTCCAAGACAGCCAGGGCTACACAGAGAAACCCTGTCTTGAAAAACCAAAAAATAAAATCCCAAACAAACAAACAAAAAAGGGGGGGGGGGGGTAAAAGTAACACTAAAAGTGTACCAAGAAGAATAAAAGGGTGAGGGGTTCCACAGGGTTTGAAATAAAACAGGGGTGAGGTACTAGGGCACCTTTCTAGTCATTCTTGAGGGTCCTCTGAAGTTGGAGTCTGCTAGGTCCATGCACAGGGGCAGGGTCAGTGGAGTTTGTGGACCCTTGTCTTCCCTATGGTTTTTATATGCTGTTGCTCAGACCATGCCGGCTGAGTGTCTGATGTCTGCCAGAGCTGCCTTCACTTTGGTAGTTGTGATAGCTTTGTTAACTTGACACAACCTGAAATTCCTGGGAAGAGATCATTGGGCTAGTGGGAATGTCTGTGGGGGATTTTAATAATTAAGTTAATTGCTGTGGGAAGATCCAGCCCTAGGATGTGTCAATTTTGAAATGGTAGTACGTGGTTTGTACAAATTTTCTTTCTTTTTTTTTTTTTGGTTTTTTTTGAGACAGGGTTTCTCTGTATAGCGTTGGTGCTGTCCTGGATCTCGCTCTGTAGACCAGGCTGGCTTCAAACTCACAGAGATCCGCCTGGCTCTGCCTCCTGAGTGCTGGGATTAAAGGTGTGCACCACCACTGCCCTGTACAAATTTTCTTAAACCTTTGTAAATGACCATTGTTATGTTCACAGATGGAGTGGTTCAACCATTATAAAAAGTCTCTTGCTACTTACATGAGGTCACTGGGAGGAGAGGAAGGCTTGGACATCACCCAGGATGTGAAACCCCCAAAAAGCCTGTATATTGAAGTAGGTAAACTTACCTTAATGTGCACATTGTGCTACCCTTTATTAAAGATGAGGATTTACTAACTTCTCTTACAAAGAAAGAAAGGAAACTTAAGACAAAAGAGTGAGGAGAAGATAGTTTCCTCTGTCTTTAGCATGGACACCTACAATTTCATCAGTACACCCATTTTAATAGTTTTGGTTTTGGTACCACAAATAGATTGCCAAAAGGAAAGAAAAAGTTTCTAAAGAGGGAGAGAAACCTATAGATTGAAAGGTAAGACATAAAGTACAATGTAGTTCTCTCAGATTCTAGTTTCAACATGAAAACTTAGAAAAATATCCATGAGGGACTGGAGAGATGGCTCAGTGGTAAAGAGCACTGGCTGCTTTTCCAGAGGCTTCAGGTTCAATCCCAGCACCTCTATGGCAGCTCATAACCATCTGTAATTTCAGTCCTAGGGGACCCAATGCCATCCACCCCACTTGGATACTATACATGTGGTGTACAGACATACATGAAGGTAAAACACCCATACACATGAAATAAAATGGGGAAAAAACCAAAATATGTATGAGACAAGTGGGAACTTTTGGGTATTAAATGAGTAATGATATGAGACAGTGTGTGTGTGTGTGTGTGTGTGTGTGTGTGTACACACAACTATATATATATACTGAGATAGGGTCTCATGCAGCTGAGGTTTACCTGGAACATGCCTTGTAGTCAAGGGTAACTCGTACTTAGCTCATGATCCTCTTGCTTCCACCTCCCAAGTGCTGGGATTGCAGGCTTGAGCCACCATGCTTGACTTTATTTATTTATTTGTTTGTTTGTTTGTTTGTTTGTTTGTTTAAGAATATTAATGCCGGGGACTGGAGAGATGGCTCAGAGGTTAAGAACACTGGCTGTTTGTTCTTCCAGAGGTCCTGAGTTCAATTCCCAGCACCCATATGGTGGCTCACAACCATCTGTAATGAGATCTGGCACCCTCTTCTGGCCTGCAGGGATCCATGCAAACAGAACACTGTATACATAATAAATAAATAAATCTTTAAAAAAAAGAATATTAATGTGTAGAAGTAGGTAATTTAAGCCAAGTGTGGTAGTTCATACCTGCAGTCCTAGTAGTTGGGATGCTGAGGCAGAAGTTTAGAGTTTAGAACCAGCCTGGGCTACAGGAGACCCTGTCTCAAAATGGGGAAAAAGTAATCCTAAAGTGATTGAGGGGACACACTTGGCCACAGCACCTTTTCCCCAAAACCAGTCTTTTCAAAGAAGTCAATACAGCAGTGGAGGTTTTCCTCTAATAGTATTTCTCACATTGTTAAAAAGCTCTGAGAGTTGTTGTCAAATTTCAGACTAATTCTAGGACATGTAGAAATATCTGGTACTTGTTGCTGGAGTTGGCGTTACTGGAAGTCAGTAGCAGTGCAGTATGGGTCCTAACCCTCAGGAGAGTAAACTCCTTCCCAGTTCTCATGAGGTGGAAATGCCTCCGTTTTCCTGGAGAGCATTTAGTGTTGTCCCTTCAAAAGAAATATTTACATGGAATGTGTACCTGAGTGCGGTTGTGTGTCCTTTGGTATACATGAGAACAACTTTGGGGAGTTGGTTCTCTCCTTCCCTGTGAGGTCAGGGGTCACCAGGCTTACACAGCAAGTGTTTTTACCCTCTCAGCTATCTTGACGGCCCAGATAGTTCTTTTCTTTGTAGGAGTTGCTGTCCAAGACTGCCTCGCTCCTCTACCTTCCAACCAGGACCTCACTTTTGGTAGCCTGGTGGCCTAAAGAATAAGGTTAAGATGAGGACAAGCTGAGATGATTAAGAATTTTTACAAATTAAAAGATAATTTAGTACAACTTCATTTTTGCTTCTATTGTGGCACTGCTTTCATTTTCTGCTGCTAAGAATTCCCTGGAATGAGTCTGCCTATTGAAGAAGATTGGAAGAATCTCTTCCAAAAGCAGGAACTGGCAAACTTACCTGTATCCTGTTCTCATACTACTACTACAAAAGTGAGGCTGGAGTGGATCTAGATATTACATAGATATTCGTGCAGCACCTGTTTTCTGTTTGATTACTACCTATAATAACATAAATCAGGTATGCTGGGGCATAGCTACGTTCTCAGCTAGTCAGGAGGCCGACACAGTAGGATCACTTGAGCCTAAGACTCAACTAGTCAACCAGCTAAAGACCCTGTCTCAAAGAAAAAACAAAGTCTCAATTTGTTCTTTCAGGTACGGTGTTTAAAAGACTATGGAGAATTTGAAGTTGATGACGGCACTTCAGTCCTGCTTAAAAAAAATAGTCAGGTATTTTCTGTTGTCATATACTTTAAACTTTGTTAAGAATGTGTGTGAGGAAATGCTGGATTCAGTAGCAAAATGAGCATCTCCTTGTGATGTTCCTCTGTATCTCAGACCTTTCTGAACTTTTTCTAAATACTAAGACTTGAAGCAAATGTTTCATATGGCAAGAAAAAATTATTTATTTACTAGGCTGCTGATTATATTTAATACTAAACACTTTCCTGAGTAATTATTATGATGGGCCTTATTCTGATTAGTTGACAGATTATTTGGGGACTATTAAAATACTGAATTTAAGAGTTGGTAATCCCAGTTACTCAGGAGGTAATCCCACCTGAGCAGGAGGACCAAAAGTTGAAGACCAACCACATATAGTGGTGTTTGTCTTTAATTCCAGAGTTCCAGACCAGGTTGGTCACAATAGCAAGTTCAAAACCAACCTGGGCTACAAAGGAAATTCCAAGCCATACCTGGCAGTTTAGTGAGATATTATCTCAAAAAATAAAAAGAGGGTTGGAGTTGTGCCTCAATGGTGGCACTTGTCCAGCTGTCCGGCGTGCATGAAGCTATAGATAGGTTCATATCTGTAGTACTAGAGTAAGAAGCAAAAGAACGTTGCTTTGAGCTTATCCCTGACTTCATGGATTTTTTTTTTTTTGGTTTTTCAAGACAGGGTTTCTCTGTGTAGCTTTTGGAGCCTATCCTGGAACTCGCTCTCTAGTCCAGGCTGGCCTTAAACTCACAGAGATCTGCCTGCTTCTGCCTCCCAAGTGCTGGGATTATTTTGTATAATATTAGAGGGACCAGCCTTAATATTATACATCCCAGGGGCTCAAGAGAGAGAACTACTAACAGCGAGGACTATTTTCAGGAAATAGAATCTCAGCACATCGAGCTCTATAGTCCACTTGCTTTAATTCCTCTGGCATAACATCCACATATACACAGCTTCAGTTCTGTTCTCGTGCCTAGCTCCTTTCTTGCCTGATTTCTCTGTTTATCTGCTGTTCCCTCTTAAGTTCTATCTTAATTCTCTCGTCTTAATTCTGCCTCATCTAGGTCCTTTTCACCTTGTTCTTACCCAGCTAGGTCTTTCCCATCTGACTCTTCCTCATCTTCCATCTCGTTCCTCTAGTCCTCTCTTCTCGCCCTTCAATCTAGTTCTTTCCCATCTCCATTTGTTCCTCTCAAGTTCTTTTTTATTTTTATTTTTTTCGAGACAGGGTTTCGCTGTGTAGCTTTGCGCCTTTCCTGGGACTCACTCTGTAGACCAGGCTGGCCTCGAACTCACAGAGATCCACCTGCCTCTGCCTCCCGAGTGCTGGGATTAAAGGCATGTGCCACAATCGCCCGGCTTCCTCTCAAGTTCTTACCCATCTAGTTCTTCCATTCTCTTTGCTCTTCTCCGTCCTCTACGTGCCCTGGAAGTCCCGGTATAAAAAGGGAGGGTCCGAGCTAAATTGTGTAAAACTATTTACTTAACGTCCACCTCACCTAGGCGGTATCTCCTTGTGGAATTTACCTTAAGTCAGGAGACTTGCATGTGGGCTGCTATCACTGTTAGTCATTGAAAGTTGGGCGCCCACCTAGGTGGTGTCTTCTGTTAGTCCTTGAAAGTGGCTAAGGGAGATATCTGATTCCAGAGAAAGCCTTTCCTGAGGCTGTTCTCCAAATACCTGGAATACGTATGTCCAGAGAGTGATCAGTCCACACTGTTAGCCCTTCTTAGGGAAAAGTCAATTGGGAAAACTATGAAGGCACACTTGATTTTCATAACAGGATACAGCTGATTTATAACAAGCCAAATAACACCAAAAACTTCTTGGAATTTGGCTTCCTCTGGAGGAATTCCCTGATCCCTCCAGGTAGTGACTTTGCCATAACCAGCTGAGTTCTTATGATACATTCCTGAGGCCTGCAGCAGGATTAAAGGCGTGTGCCGCCGCCGCCGCCGCCACCACCGCCACCACCACCCGGCGAATTTATGAAAATTCTTAAGCAACCATTTTCAGCTTATACCTCATTTTAACCTTGTTCTTTAGAGCAAGAAATCATGGTGCAGATCAAGAACTTTTAAGTACTTAATATGTAAGCTTAATAGGATAAGATTGTCATTGAAGAGCTGTGACTTCTTATTAACCCAGTTCATTTTTATCCTCTCCCCGTTTTCTGAAGTCATAGTAAAGGAAGATAAGGGCCACTCTTTCTTCTTTGCCTGTCCTGCCATGTGGGTGTTAACCAGTTAGTGTCTTGTCCCTAAATCATGATGTTGAATGTTTACATCCTGGAACAGAATACTTCTAGTCATCTTGTGCTCTGGCCCAAGAGGGTGACTGATCTGCTTTATTAGCGTGCAGCTTTCATTTCCCAAAAGTAGGTTTGTAGAACTGATTTCAAAGATAGCCTAAAATCTTTGTTAAACCAACTGTTCTCTCCCATGTGTCTCCTTAAACATACTGCACCAAAAAACCAGATGATGAATTAAGGTGCTTTAAAAAAATCTGTGTTCTGAAGGTGCCATGGGAACCTGCAGTTGCCAGGAGCAAAGCTGTCCTCAGAGCAAGATGAGTGGAAATGCTTTCAATTTGTTGAGGTTTTCTGGAGCTCTGTTGCTGATCTGCCCACTGTGTGCTGAGCCAGTGAGGCCTGAGCCTGTTCATTTGCTCCTGTGTGGACATGTGAACAGCCTCAACAACTTACATTATCTGTGTTTGAAACCTATTTTCTACTGTTTAATGTTAAGGAATTTCTAAAATACCTGATCATGGGCCAGCAAGATGGCATAGTAAATAAAAGTACTAGCACACAGGCCCAATGACCTGAGTTCAATCCTTGGATCCTAAGATGACAAGAGAGAACCAACTCCTGAGAGTTGTCTTCTGACCTTCACATGCATGCTATGGCCTATGCATGTCTATATCTGCACATGCACACATACACACACATGCATGCATGCATACTAAATTAGTTACTTAAAAATATATCTGGCTACACCTAAAACTGACTGTGTATCTGTGTAGGTCATCCACATAGTTCAGACACTAGTGGAGACATGCTTAACATGTATTCTTTAATACTTATGAATATGGTGTTAAAGCAACTATCAAATGTATCACTCAGTGTGTGTGTGTTTAACACTTAATAATTTTTAAAAACTTGGTGAATAAAGAGCTGGAAAGATGACTTGGTGGTTAAGTACACTTTCTGCTCTTGCGGAGGACCCTAGTCCAAGGAGATCTAGTGCCCTCTTCTGGCCTTCATGGGCAACAGGCATACATGTGGTACACATAGATACATGTAGGCAAAACACTCATACACATAAAATAAAAATGAATAAATCTTAAGAATTATGCAATGACTTTTATAAAAATAATAACTTTACTAGTAGTGTTCATCTCTTAGTAGTATCAATTTTACTTGGTTATAATAGCAAATTAGGCCAGGTGGTGGTGGCGCACGCCTTTAATCCCAGCACTCGGGAGGCAGAGGCAGGTGGATCTCTGTGAGTTCGAGGCCAGCCTGGGCTACAGAGTAAGTTCCAGGACAGGCTCCAAAGCTACACAGAGAAACCCTGTCTCGAAAAACCAAAATAAATAAATAAATAAAAATAGCAAATTAGTTAAGTTTAGCTTTTATTTATTTAGCTGTAGAAGTTGATAAGGTATATAATAACTGTTGCTTTTTACTAATGTGAAATATAATTAAATTTTTTTCCTAATCATTTCTCTCATTCTTTCCCTTCTGCTTCCTTTTGCTCGTAGCACTTTTTGCCTCGGTGGAAGTGTGAGCAGTTAATCAGACAAGGGGTTCTGGAGCATGTGCTGTCCTGACTGTGTTCTGGGATGACGACAGCAGGGACTTCAGGCTCTGCCAGGTGTGAAGAAGCTAAGTCTAGCTCATGGAAACATCCTCACTGGACCTCCCCTCCTTCTTTGATTTTAAATTTACAGACATGCTCTAAAATAACCACAAAGGGCACCTGGGGCAGTGTGGGGGGGGGGGGGGCTCAGTGGTAGAGCACTTGCTTAGCATTTGAGAAACTGGGTTCCATCCCTAGCACCTCAAAAGACAGGACAACAAAAGTCAAAGAGCAGACTATAGACCAGGAGCATGTGGCTACAAGTATAATCTGCCACCTGTTAAGCTTTGTTACAAGCTATATCTCTAGTCATTGCATTCCCACAGTAAACGCTGTACTTTTATAAATAAAAATCAACAGTCTTCAGTTCGAATCTGTTTTCATGATACATTTTTTCAAAAGTAGCAAATATTTATCTAGTAGAAGATGGAAACATCCAGGGGTAGGGAAATAAATCTGTTTCCTTAGCAGTAGAATAAGCCCCCAGGAAGAGTTATTTTGGCCAAGTGAAGGTTTTAGTAGGCCAAAGGTGAGGCTGAGCCTTCTTCAGGAGCTGGAGGAGGCTGGACAGTACTGAGCAGATAACTTACACTGTGTAGATGAGCAGCATCCTTGTAAGGGCCCAGAGATCTTGGCACTGATGATGCTCTGCCTCAGCCTCCTAAGTGCTAGGATTACAGTCTTGAGCTGCCACGCCTAGCTTCAGCTTTCAGTCTGGTTTTGGATTCTTTTTGATGTTGCTGGTTTGTTTTAGACAGGCTCTATGTAGCTCTGGCTATCCTGGAACTCACTATGTAGACCAGGCTAGCCTCAAACTCGCAGAGAGCTACATCTCTGCCTCCTGAGTGCTAGGATTTGGTTTCTAATTTGATTTCATTTATATAGAGAATATATTTTTAAAATTAATTTTAAAAAATAATTTTTATAGAGAATTTTATACAATATGTTTTGATCCCATTCACGTCCTAAATAATTTTTGATTAGTTTATACAGTATTAGATATCATGATGATAGAACACATTTGATATTACTTCAGTCTCTGTAATTTTTTGAGACTTGTATTAAGGCCCCAAACAAGGTCCATCATGGTAATTGTTACAGGTTTATTTACTAATGCTGATTTGGGAGTGGAGTCAGTTTTCTGTAAATGTCAGTTAGCTGATCATGTTTTCAGTCTTTAACCAATCTACTTTGTGTGTGTACACGTGGTTGCTAATGCACATATATGTAGAGGCCAGATATTGAGTGTTGGATGTTTTCCTCAATTGTTTTTTTTTTTGCGATAGGGTTTCTCTGTGTAGCCTTGGCATACTGAGTGCTGGGATTAAAGGTGTGCACTCCCATTGCATGGCTTTCACCTTATTTTTTGAGCTAGAGTCTCTCACTGAACCTAGAGCCTACTGATTCAGTTAGACTGGCTGGAGAGTGAGCTCCAGGGAACCTCTTGTCTCTACTTCTCCTGGGATGGGATTACAGCCAGATTTTTATAAGGGTTCTGGAGATATGAACTCAGGTCTTCATATCTGTGCAGCAGGAGCTTTACCAGCTGACCCATATCTCTTGCCCTCTCACCTTGTACTTCAGTTCCAGGCAGAACCCAAAGTAAAGAAGTGCACCCACTGGGAGGTGGTTTTCTTTTTCTTTCTTATTTTTTTTTTCCTTCTTTCTTTGAGACAGGGTTTCTCTGTGTAGCCCTGGCTGTTCTGGAACTTGTTCTGTAGACCAGGCTGACCTTGAACTCACAGAGCTCCACCTGCCTCTGCCTCCCAAGTGCTGGGATTAAAGGTGTGCATTACCACCACCACCCCACTGTGAGTTTTGACAATGCCTATACTGGTATTGTAGGAAAAACGGGCTGCCTAAAGAAATCCACCCTGACCCTGGAGCCCAGAACTAGGGAAAGATGGCTCAGATCGGGGCAGAAAGAAACACAGTTTGGTTCAGTCAGATCAGAGCCATCTCTGCCCCTGGCCAACTGACTTGTGAAACCAACCGATCACAGAGCAGGATAGTAGAATCCTGGGCCCAGGGTTGACTCCACCCCCTAGACTTCCTGTGTAAATTGCCCTGCCTAGTCAGTTAGGGAAAAAAGGGCTGTTCTCTCCATCCTGGTAGAGGCAGCTACTCTCCTGGACTCCTCCTTTCAAATAAATCTTTTTCTCAAAAGAGTTTTTTGGGTGTGAAGATCTTCATTCACTGACATAGAGAAGATCCTTGCTGAGACATCCCCCAGTGGACAAAATAAGGGAGAGCTGAAAGAGTAGGGCAAGGAGGAGCTGAACAGATCTTTGCTGAGATCTTTTCAGTGGACACAGCAAGCTGAAAAGTAACACTTTGCTCCGGAGGAGCCCGAGGAGATTGCTACATTTCTGCAGGGGTTTCCCCTTTCACAGAGTAAAGCAAAAGAAGCAACATCTTAGGCCAGAGAAGCAGAGCTCTGCTAGGAAGCCCCCTTAAGTGGGGGCTGAGCAAAGCTCAGCTGTAGAGGCTCTCCAGGAGAGGAGCAGGATTGATATATCCTGCGGGGAGACCATCCCCCATCACACCAGGTATGCCTTGACTTTCCTGAAGAGTCAGGATACCCTTCCCTGCTGAAGCAGTTCCAGGCCTGACTCTCCAGAGAAGTCAGAAAAATTTCCCTTCCAGGGCTGGGCTGCTGCTTTGCAGTTCCAGCCATCAGAGCTGTGCTAAACAGCTCCAGGTGTCCGGGACACCTTCAGGGCAGAGCTGTTGTACTAACAGGTATAAGGCAAACTGTACTGAGGCTAAGTATTTTACTGGTTAGTAAAACTAGACTCTTTATTTTAAGAGCATTCCCTTCTGGGGTGAAGCGCTGACTGGAGTAGAGAATCCTGTTTTTTTTGTTTTTCTTACTATTGTAGCTCTGGCTGTCCTGGAACTCTGTAGACCAGGCTGGCCTCAAAGTCAGAGATTCGCCTGGGATTAAAGCAGTTGTTGTGAACCTTCCTAATGCTGTAACCTTTTAATACAATTCCTCATGTTATAGTGCCTCCCACATAAAATTATTTCATAGCTACTTCAAACTGCAATTTTGCTACTGTTAGGAGTTATAATATAAATATCTGATATGCAGGATATCTGATATGTGATCCCCAAAGGGGTTGTGACTTACGAGTTGAGAACCATTGGATTAAGGCATGCGCCACTATACCTATCCATCCCTGTTTGTATTTTTATTGGAAGAGTCCAAACGCTGTCCTCATGCTTGTCCATCAAGCACTTTGTCCACCGAACCTTCTTCCTAGCCCCATAGTGATAAATACAACTTTTTACTTATGTGTGAATAATTTACAATTTTAAAAAACTTAAAGAGTTAAATCAATTTTAATAGGAAAGAAGTTATTGAAAATACAGTAACTTTTCATATCACAGTAGTAAACCAAATGGTCATAATTTAGGTATATCTCAGTTATAAAACTATACCTTTTTTAAAAAAATATGTACAATTTCCAGTGTGATAACATTTCTGTAATGAGATTGCACTTGCATCAACAAACACTGCTATCCCTGAGCCCACCACCTCAGATGCCTCCCTCCCTCCCTCCCTTCCACCTCTAAGGAGCAGCAGAGGACTGCTGGGGGACGCCCTCTTCCTGGGGTGTACTGACCCACACGGAGAGCTCTGATGACAGAGCCCACCCAGAACCTGATTCTGCATTCCAGTCTTCCAGCCCAAAGCACAACACTCAAAATACTCAGCCACTTTCTTTCTGCTGCTCTTTCCTGAGAGCCTGTCTTTAAACTTGGGGACTTAACCCAGGGTGTTACTTGAGACTGACTTCCCAGCACCTGGCACATAGTAGACATTCTTTGAATGCTTGTAGGGTGAACAGGACTCAGTCCTTACGTGTCTAGGAAGTGTGGCTAGTGAGCCATAGAAAATTATGGCATCAGAGTAGCATTATTTGAAGAGACATTCCTTCACGTGAACTCTAGGAATCAGCAGCTTCTACACAGAAAGTGACGCTGGTGCCATCTTACTGATCAGTTTGTTGAGAGCTCGAACTTTTTCTTCCAAGACACAGTTTTTCCTCTCAGCACCTCGCTGCTTCTCTTCTGTGAGCTGAACAGCTTTCATGAGGTGGGCATTTTCCACATACAGTTCCTTGAGCAGCAGATCAGATTTGGTGTTCTTCTCCAACTAGACAGAGGAGAGAGCCACACTTTTCCTGTGAACTGCTGCAGGCTGCTAGGCCAGCCTGCCCCTCATCCTCTGCTCCAGCCCTACCCTTGGCGTTCTTGAGTTCTGACACACATACATACTGGATACAATGACAATTTCTGTTCCCTGACATAAGGGAGAAAAGTGAGAATCTGCAGAACTATGTGGAGAAAACTTAAGACAAATTTATGACTGTCTTTGCCACAAAATGAAAACCCTGCTGTTCAGTGAAGAAACAATGAAACCTTCAAGTTTCCAGAATGCTTGGTTTATGTCTATGTGCTCTGCCATGGTGATGCCATGTGGGACACACTGAGTGGTTACAGCCACCCTGTAGCTAGGTGTGTGAGCCAGTTACTAGGTACAAGGAGTCTGGACAGGTTTCAGTGATGGAAACCGACATCTCCAGGCAGTGGCCCTTGCTGTGTCCTTGTTCAAAACACATAGGCACAGAGATCTGAGCGCTGGGCTCCATGAGGCCACATGGAGTACATGGACATAATCACTGTGCCTACTCTGGCAACACCAGTGCTGTGGCAGAACACGCTAACAATGGAGGCAGCCGGAAACAAACGTGCAAAGGAAGCGGAGCAGTGTGTGCCATTGTGGTGGGATGAACAGGGTAGGGCCGCTCTAAGGACAGAGATAGGAATCGAGTCAAAAGGCTAGTCAAAGCCGGCGTGAGCAATCAAGTCAAAAGGCTAGTCAAAGCCGGCGTGAGCAATCAAGTCAAAAGGCTAGTCAAAGCCGGCGTGAGCACTGCAGAGGAAGGACGCATACAGAGGCCCTGTGGCTAGCACTGCTTGGGGAGAGCTATGGTTCCACAGACTTGGAGTAGAAGTGAGAACAGGCTGGGCCTGTCCTAGCTTATTCTTGTGTGAGTAGCAGCTTTTAGCCTGTGCCTAGCCTTGGATGGCTCCATGTTATAAAGCAACAGCCTCAAATGGAATTACTGTGTTTGGAATATAAGTGGCAAGAAAAGCATGGCTGTGTCCTGTATATTCAAGTAAAGAAGCCATCTGCGGCACACCAGGAGGCACCAACTAATGTGTCGGGAACACCAGGCCCAGGAGCTCAGCCACTCCATCAGTAACCCCTTGCCTGAGACTAAAGGGAGCAGCAGTGCAGGGCTAGCATGCAGCGGACACACCTCTAGTCATGAGGTCCCTCAGCCCAAGCCTCGTCCAGGAAAACTGCCACAGGGGAGGAATCTTGCCTTTTTCCCGGGCTGCAGTTCAAGCGTAGTTTTTCTTGCATGTGACACTGAGCGACCTCAAGCTGACCCTTGGCCTCTACCTGACCTGACACACCTGCAGTGCCCAGCTCTGCGCCTGCACTCCTTGTCTGCCTCACTGTCTCGCTCTTCTGTGCACCTGTATCAGCTCCATCTTCAGCTTCAGGACACCCCTGAATGCTGCAGTCTGACCTGTTCTTTCATCCTGTGGCCTACATGTTTGTAGATTATTGTGTGAAATGCAGTATGTGGTACAACAGTTACTATTAGTTAAGTCTGCAATAAAAGAGCCTATGATTGTCAGTGGGCAGTTACCATGGGAAACCAGAAGTACTTGTCAAACTGTAGCCAAGGACATGGATATAGCAGCTTGTGAATTTATGACTAATCTAATCAGTTCTGACATTATAGAAAGACAGAAATGTGTCCAAATGCTTCTGACATGTGACATTCATGACAAGGAGGCAGAAGGGCTCAGAATTATGTAATGGGGAGCAAGGCAAAGGAAGGGAACTCTATCAGCAGAATTTTGTGTGTGTGTGTGTGTGTGTGTGTGTGTGTGTGTGTGTGTGTGTGTTTAGGTGTGTCTGTTGATGTGTGTATACAATCATCTGGAGGCTAGAGGTTGAAGTCTGGAGTCTTCCTCAATTGCTTCTTTTTTTATTTTTCTTTTTTTTTTTTCTTTTTTTTTTTTGGTTTTTCGAGACAGGGTTTCTCTGTGTAGCTTTGCGCCTTTCCTGGAACTCACTTGGTAGCCCAGGCTGGCCTCGAACTCACAGAGATCCGCCTGGCTCTGCCTCCCGAGTGCTGGGATTAAAGGCGTGCGCCACCACCGCCCGGCTTCTTTTTTTATTTTTAATTATATGTATGTTGTGTGTCTGTGTGTGTGAGTACAGGCATAAGTGCTGGTGCCCTTGGAGGTCAGAAGAGGGCATTGGATCCCCTGGAGCTGGTGTTAAAGGCAGTTGTCTGCCACCCAACTTGGATGTTAGAAACCAAACTCCAGTACTTCTGTAAGAGCAAGCAGTACGCACTCTTATTTGATAAGGTGTATTTCCATCCCTCCTTTGGCTAGGGCTGATTGACCAGAGAACTCTAGGAATCCTGTGTCTGCCTGCCTCCCACACTTTACCAGCTGAGCTGTTTCCCCAGCCCTTTAGAATTTTTGTTGTTTTTTTCAGCACATCTTACTTGTTAAGACTGTTGTGATTTAAAAGCTGGCTTCTGCCCCTGGGCTGAGTGCAGACAAGGGAGGGTGAAGGAAGCCAGTTAGGAGTAGGTGGGATGACAAGTGGCTGGCTTTGGTGTCCAAGGTGAAGCTGAAATATGATACAAGGTGTAGGGGAGGAGGTGGCCACGGCCCCAAGGTCTCTGGTTGAGCCAGCAGCTGGGAGGAGTGGGATGCAGGCAGTAACAAGATTAGACAGTGCCAAAGAACATGTTCATAGGAGGTAGGGCAGGTGTAGGGCATTAGGTAGCAAGGGGTCAGAAGCATCAACAGCGTGTCCTGTGAAATACGCAGCAGGGACAGTGCTATGAGGTTAGGGGAGCTCAGGCAGGGA